TCCTATTACTGACATTTATATCTGGGATGTGACTTCTTAACGGGACTGAATATGTCTGCATTAGGGTTTAGCTGCAGGCTCTGTAAGGGGCTTGCCATTGTCTGGGGCTGATTAAGTCGATGGTCAATGCATCCTTCTTGTGTAACAGACAATAAATCGTCTCTTAATGTATCTAATTCGCTTTTAAATTTACTGATTTTTTCCATTTGTACTTTTTTGTTTCCTTTCCAAGAGAAGAAAAATGGAAACGAGAGGCGGAAAATCAAACTACAGCTTAGCAGATTTGATGGCAGCAATACAAAAACAAGAAAAGAAACAAGAAGAACGAGAAGAGAAATTACAACAGTTGTTAGAGGAAAAAGAAAAGAAACAAGAAGCACGAGAAGAGAAGAGAAATTGCAACATTTGTTAGAGGAAAAAGAAAAGAAAAAAGAGGAGAAATTACAGCAGTTGTTGGAGGAGAAAGAAAATAAACAAGAAGAACGAGAAAATAAACAAGAAAAGAAACAAGAAGAACGAGAAGCGTAATTACAACAGTTGTTAGAGGAAAAATAAAAGAAACAAGAAGAGAGACAACAGCAGTTGCAAGAAAACCTGCACCAATGGCAGCTCGAACAATGAGATTGCTTTTTTTTTCCTGAAATATCGGAAACTTTGTATTAATATTTTTATCTGATCTATTTTATGTTTATATATATTTTCCCAATGTAAATAAACAGATATCTTATATAATTGTTTGTTTTAGCAGTCTGTTGAATCTGTAGGTGTTCAGCACGAGTGCCTTCTTGACTAGTTGACCTATATCGCTCTCAGGTTCACATGGCTACCGATGGTAGCGTTATCATAAGGCAGGACTATATATCATTGCAATAGCCCATCAGGCAGAATGGACATCACTTACTACATAGAACAAGGAAACGAAGCAACTAGAGTAAGGTAATCTTATAGACTTTCTGGAACACATATTGTCGCCATTATAGTGTGTAAACTAAATATTGTTTGAAGTTGAGCACAAAGCTACACAATGGGCTATCTGTGCTCTTCCCACCACGGGTATCGAAACGTGGTTTCTACTGTTGCAAGTCTGCAGACATACCGCTGGGGGGGGGGGGCGTCAACTAAATAAGCGAAAAAAATCTTAATATCACTAAAGCATATGACAATCCTATATATCAAAATGCTACAATGTTTGAAAGTTTTTGTGGCTTCGTATCATACATTAGGTTTTGGAAACACTATGTAACAGTCAAAGAATGGTGTACAGTTCAAGCTCTATGTTTAGAGCAGTAAGATGCCGGAATAGTTTTATCTCCAATATGTGTATTGTGGTTTTGAAAGATCTTTTGGATATATCCGTAAAGACTGGCCGAAGGAAGGGTTTTCTCCCTAATCATATTTATTCATGATCAAGGTGTAAGGATTGAGTTTTTAAATGTTAGTATTAAACATATTCTGACTCAATCAAAGAGGTTTCGAATAAAATCCACTACACAGCTGTAACATATATTGAACATATGGAAGAAAATTTTTAACTTAATAAATAAAGTACTAAAATAATGTCCTGTTTTTATCATTTTACTATGAAGTATTTGACTAGAAGCTCAACTGTCACTGAAAAATACAACTATATTACAAGATCGCCAATATTTTGTGCCTAATTTTTTTATCATTGGCTCGGTTACAACAAAACAAGAAACTTTATTTATATACAAGACAATCAGACATCAAAAGTTTGTTAGAGAAGCCTATTCTAGTTTGAGGTGTTTCTTAGGAATGAAGATTCCCTTTAAATATTAAGCCTATATTTTGTTTATATACCTCGATATAATCAAAGACACTGGCAAGTTGATTTTTATACACGACTATTATTTTATTTTATAATTTTAATATAAGCAAGTAAACTTAGAGTGCTGAAACTGTGTGTAGATTGAAAGTGTTTGGGGATTTCGAAGTCTTTTATTACTTCAAAAGTAGCAACGAAATCAAAGCCAAGTATTTCTAAAATGAAAAACATTATTATTACTATTATTATGATTATTACTAAATTACGCTTTTTTCTTTTCGCTCTACTTTCTTAAAATTAATCAATGAATCTGATTAGGAAGTAATTTTATACTGTATCGTAAAACGCTTTAAAATACAACATTTTCATATCATATTAAATTACTTAAATGTTTCTTAAGAAAGAAGATCAAGAAATGTTGGGCCATACAATAAGACAGAAAATACTACACACTGAAACAATGTTTTTATATGCTTAAGTCAGCTTAGTGTCGTTTTTATTCTCATACACACACACACATTGTCGCCATTTTTATTGCAAAAAAAAAAAATAAATGTTGCTCATCGAGGTCACGTGACTGGTGTGGCGACACATATTTTCTAGAACTATCCTGTACCCTGGCGAATGCTCTAGTATTTACTAGATATAGTGTAGTCTGGTATATAAAAGAGGGTGACAACGTGACGGGACAATAATGTGTGTGTAGATAGAGAGTAATTGAACTGCAGTCACAGGGTATTGTTGAAGTTAACGTTCGTTCGTTATAGTGTTTGTTTTAGCGCGAATATTGAAATTAAGTGTATCGTAAAGTTATATTCGGAAAGAATAAACCAGTTTTATTCAGTAAGGACTTGTGTCGCTAAAGTTTCGACGGAACGAAGTTACGGAAAGTTAATTAACAAACGGAGACGTAACAAATTGGTGTCAAAGAGTGGGATAGAAAAAAAAATGGCTGGAGACGGCTTGAATGGGTAATGAAGAAAACCTTTAATATAAGTTTAACATAACAGCAAATGTAACAGTTTGCTGTTCCTCCTTTCTAATACAACAACATTTCTGCATTGCAAGCGATTCTGGTATGGTAAAGTTTAGGTTATTGATATCTGATATGGAATTTAGGTGTTTGTTAAATATTTACGACGTTTATATAGAACTTATAAGATGGTTATGTTATTTTATTGACATACAAATCTCAGGTTTGAGAACCTTTTACTATTACATTGAATCAAAGATTAAAACGAAGTGTATAAAAATGTTATTTTTTTGTTCAAAATGATGAATTGTATGTGAATATATATACATGTGTACAAGATATTTTGCAAGGTGTTGGACAATAAAGCTGGTAAATACCAAATTTGATTCCCTTTTTCTCTTGTTAAAATTAATTTATAGGAAATAAAGTGCCCAGTAGATGGCGCTGAATGATATATACTGGTTCTTGTGTTCGTGTAATATGTACACTTGTTTTAAAATGTGTTGGAATTCTAGAAGGTCGGGTGAAGTGACCATTGAAAGTGAAAAAGTTAAAATAAGAAAATTATTTGCCGAATAGAACGAAGTTTTACAACAAGATGCTTTTCAGTATGACACTACTTAGAGGAAACTGGCTTGTTGTTATGCTTTCACCTAATTTATTTTTTTTTAACTGTGAAGGCTGTTATTTCTCTGAGGTAAGAAAAACCTAAAACGTTTTTCGATAGAAACATGAAACTCAACATGTAAAAGGAACCAATATTTGTTTCTGATTAGTAGACTGATAGATTTAATATCGATATGTTTAATGACTAATATTCCATTTATAATCCATTCTCTAGGCTGACAAAAGTAAAGAAGTTTGAAAAAATGTAACTTTACTTCAGGCCGTAAGGTGGCATCACTTCTAGCTAACCCATTATTTTATAACAAATATCCACTGAAGTGTTAGGAATAAGAAGACTATGTTATTCAATTTCCATTGTTTTAGGAAGATAATGAAGCTTTGAACTGCTGATACGCATGCCTTCGTAATCGTTTCTCGTCACTAAACTAGTTGTTGTATAAAACATTACCTTCAAAAACACTCGTGCCATCTAAATGTTTACATAAAAACAAATGGTAGGCGCATGTAACATCCTGTTTTACAGTAATAGGTCTACTAAAGTATGAATAATTAATTTCATCATTAAAGTCAAACCACACCTTAACATAAAAATTAACGATATTTTTAGGTTTAAGTTATCCATTTTAATTAGTTATTTAGTTTTGAAATGTTAATATATACATTAAGAACAGTAAAGCTACCTGATGATGACAAAACCTTGTGCAAGTCGCAAAACTGTTGTTGTATTAGAAAGCGACTTGCAACAGTTTGCTGTTCCTCCTTTCTAATACAACAACAGTTTGCGACTTGCAGCAGTTTGCTGCCTCCTCTCGGCCACAGCTTTTCTCATACTTCTAGCACTTCTGTTTCTTCCCCTGCCTTCTTGGCCATTAAGTCTCGATCAGACCGATCGCCTCTTTCCATTGCTGTCCCCAATGATCGGCCCATTCCACCATGGCTTATTACCATCCCTTCCTGTGACCTTTCTCTGGGTCACCTGAGGAAGGCGGATACTCCCGATTGGAAGTACCGTCTTCTCTTTTCTGAACATCTTTTGAGCCATTCTTCTCTTCCTATTTAAACTGTCTGATTAGATTGTATTTTAAATTTTTTACACACTGTAGGTCTTTTTTAATTACATATAAATCTTTTATCGACATATATTTGTTTTAACTCGCTGTATTTTTACATTTTACTTTAATTTACTTTCACTGTTTTTACCGGTTGTTTTGCACAGATAGCCTTGTTGCTTTGCACCATAAAGCACCAAACAACCAACAAAATGTCGTCCTATACATTTGTATGTTTGTACAACAGGCAGTTGCTGTCCATTTTAAACTTAGATTCATTATAAGTTTTTGTTTTGTAAATATGCAAGCTCCTATACCAGTATATCAGATTAGCTTCATTACTTAGTACATTAACTGTAAGTTCTGGTATATGTACGTAACTTGATTTGATCAAAAATAGCACAGCCATTTTTCCATTCCTAGAAGAGTACTTTAATAGTTGTATACTAATTAATACTTATATAAGGAAAATAACTAATGAATTGATTGATTTTTGTTAAAACAGGTTAAATTGAAGTTGTTAATCTATGCTTACTAACCAAGAATGTATAATGATAATTATTATGTGCTTTGGGTTATAGAGTACTTTGTTCACCATGTAAAAGCTTTTACAATAGCTCAAGTACCTCAACAACTGAGAATATGGAATTCTGTGACTTGCATTTACGAAGTTTGCTTTTAAGGTCTTTCTTTTCTTACTAAGACTTTATAAATTTATTTATTCAATTAAAAGCATATCTTCATAACATCTGGTATAAATGGTTTTTTGGTTGGTATAATGGTGTAATATTTCCCAATGCATAAATGTCAGGCACAGCTGTATAAGCAGTAGCATTTAACTTATATATACATTATTTTAAGGAACATCAGCTGGAATATTTTTCTTGGATTTTAATAAATTTGATGGGTTTCTAATCTTGTGGATTTCTTAAATCAACAAATGATATTTTTAAAAACCAACTAATTATGTGGTTCATAACTTCGTTTTACTACTACATATTTTTGGTCTATGTAATCTAACTTAATTATTAATATGTTTGCTCTCTCTGAATCCCAATTCTTATTATTTTACAGACATTATTGCCTTTAGTCATAATTTCTATTTCTGATTGGTTGTTTAATCCTTTAAGTTGAATTATTGCTTTAAAATTTCTACTCCTTGTTTGTTAAGGATAAAAACTGTATAGTTAATGAAAGGAATTCTAATGCTAGAGAATCATAAAGGTTTGACTTCTTATACGTAGAGGCTTTACTAATAAGACTAACATGTTAAATTTTGCTGTATATATTCATATAATGCTATGTTTTGAGTTGCAAGTAAAGGATTTGATGAACCGGTTTATGTTAGGATATCTTTATAGAAAATTGATATAACTATCTTTTCATACTTGACAGGTAGGAGCAGCAATATCCATGACTTATATCACTGGTCAGCCAATAGTGTTTGTTGGAACAGGTCAAACCTATACTGATTTAAAAAACCTTAATGCTAAGGCTGTTGTTCACGCCCTCATGAAGTAATGCTGTTCCTTGAAGTGATCTTCCATTTTGCTGTAGAAAAATAATATACAATTATGGCTAGAAGAAGCTCTTCCAGAGAGAAATATTCTTAGATTGGCATTTAAACATTCTTGTATTCCTGCTATTATGCTTAAAAAAAAAGAATAAAGTGGAAGATTAGATAATATTCAAATGAGAAATGTTATTAATTCTGAATTAATATAAAAAAGTATTTTCGTCTCCTAAAGTATATTATTCAGTGAATACATTGCTTATCAATGTTTTTCCCTTACCATGTTAAGAAAAGGTCAGCTACAGTTCAAGATGACTGTGAAAATGTAACAAGAGTATTAAAAACTGGTAGATATCTGTTTTAATAATTTTATTTAACAAACTTTCATAAAGTGATTTATATTGGATATTACGTTATATATTTCTGTCTTATAATTGTATTCTTCCTACAAGTGTTATAAATTTAAGTTACCACTGAAAGTAAAGTGTGTGAAAGGAAGGCTAGTTTGAAGTATGATTCATTATTTAAAATGGCTTGTTTTTTGTTTTATACTGATGTTTATACCATTTATGTTGTAGCTATTAAAGTGACAAACGAAGATACAAAAATAACATTTCTTGTTTTTACTTGTGAATTCTTCATGATAATGGTTGAGATGTAAGCGAGTTGTTTGATTGTAGTTTATTCTTAGAAAAACTGTGCAAAATTGTTTAAGTTCTTGGAATATTTAGAAAGTTTAGCCATTGGTCATAAGAAGAGTAAACAGTCAAAATTGACTGCAATATATTTTCAAACTTTGATACATTTAGAAAATAACTACAGACCAAAAGAAAAATTAACATGTTAAACCTGAAATATTTGTGTAACTTTCATACATATTAACCAAAGTAATCCTAACTATCCTTATGAGTTACCAAGAACTTGAAAAAGCATAATGTAAACATAAACAAGTAAGTTTTTTCTCTGTTTTAGATAAGTTACTTTGAGAAATACTTTGCAATTCTGTAAAAGTGACTTATCTTGACAAAACATTTATGTGCATTTACAACCATTTATGTGAATATCCAAACTTCATAATTATACCCTAGATTTGTTTTTGCAAGTATTAGACTCATGATTTGATAACAGTTAAAAAATCTTTGAAATAAATAAGAGATTTCATTTTTTTTATTATGCTTTTGGTGTTGCAGTATTAAATAGGGTGTTTTAATTTTTAAGATTATGTAACGTTTGCCTTGGTATTAAAGCTATAGACTAAGGCTGCTTCAGCAGTTGTATGAATTCAGGTTATGGTCTTAAGTTCTTCACGTCATTATTTGAATGAGTAATAATGTGTTATGTATTTAGAAAGTTAAGTAAGATACTTTATAGCATCGTTTTTTTGTCTTGAGGTAAATATCTTGTCTATTTATCTGAATTGTAGTTAAATTAAAGGAGGCTAGTACAGAGAATTGGCAGTTCAGAAGATCTTAATTTTTTTCCTGTTCTGTACAATTCATCTACTTACAAAGAGTATCTCTTTTAAAAGAGGTCATCTCAGTCCTATGCACTATGAATACCTTAAAAAAAAAGATGGTGGATGATGTGGAAAGTATAAAAATAGGGGAGGGGGGTTCAGTAGCGATTCATGATTTACAGGTGAGTACAAGTTTTGTAGAATTAGTTAGAGAACCTTGGGCTTGTTTGCCACTTTAATATATAGTTTATACAGTTTCTGTTAACAAGTAATTTCTTATTACTGATTTTAGTAAGTTTATTGGTGAAAAGTTATTTTGAGTTACCCTAATGACATTTCAAGCTTTCCGCATGATGTTATGTCAGTTTATGAATTTACTCGGTCGTTGTTTGTTTTTATGTAGAAAGTTTGATACTATGTATACTTATAGGGTAATATTTTAATGAAACTATCTACACACTGACCATGAACTCCTGAGAATCAACGTTTTGGCTTTGTGCTTTCAGCTGGATCATACAAGTCATGAAACACTGAGCAAATACAAGAACTTGTGACATTCTCTGTAGTTCAGTCATTTTATTTATTTGTAATTATGTGTACTATGCTCCAGTCAGCATTCTGTAAATTAACAAATGTAAAACACTTCTACACACTGCATAAATAGAGCAAGGAAAGGAAAGACTTCAAGTTTTCTAGTTTATATTGTGATATATTGTTCAATGTTCAGAAATTAACATAATCTGGAATTTACTTGAATGTCCTGCATCTGGTTTAACTGAACATATGTCTGTCTGGAAGAAACTTTGCTAATGTTCTACTCTGTGGAATACTCCATCATAAAGCTGAGCTGTAAAACCTCTTGATTTACATTAAATATACTTTTAAGTTTATTTTCCTGCTTTTACAAAGGTCTATCTTACATAAGAATTTTTTTTTAAAACAGCCAATAATTCTTTTTTTTTCATACTATCAATAGTGTAACACCACTATTTTAACAATATAACAAATGTGCTTTCTCCAGTGTCAAAATAAGCTTTCACAAATCGTATGCTAGATGTATCTCATAGAGCTTGTACCATCTGTTGTCAGTACATTTAGAAGTTTAGGAATGTAAACATTTATCATCTTTGTGCTGGTTAACATTACTAATGCTCTTTTTAAGATGTAGATGGTTTTAACTTTTGGTGTGTGTGTGTGAGTTAATGGAATACTTCCTGTGAAAGAAACGCAGTCTCAATGATGATTTTAATGGTAAATGATGTGCCTATTAATGACCATATTTAGGAAATACAATAACCTGAGTTTGTCACTGTGACATACATAATCATCCCTACAAATTTCTTACCAGATAGCAGTCTGGGTTTACAAAAACTGGTAGTTATATTGATTTGTTCATCGTGTTTACTTATTTGTGTAACAAACTCGGTTCCTCTGTACAGAAAGAGATAAAGGCTCACACTATATATTGTCCTCTTCTTTTTTTTCTATAGTGTAGGTGCTTTAAAGACTTGTTCCTTAAAAATACAAACATTTCCTAATGATAAGTGATTTTATAGTGAGACAATGAATTTAGATTAATAGGTATTTCGCAGACAAGTTGTACTGACGTTGTGGAATCTATAAAGATTGAATGATATATTGTGTGCCTTAAGAATAATTAAGATTTCCATTTTAAACAAATTTATATTAAAGTGCACATCAATAAAGAATCTGTAATAATAGTAATAAGGCACCTTGTTTACTGTGATTTGACATATTTTTAACCAAGGAGAGCATTGAGTTCATTACATGAGTTTGAGGATTGGGGGGAAAAAAAGTCAAAGAAGATTTTCACTTGAAGTGTTTTCAGGTGGGAAGCAAATAATGATTTTAGTTGGTTTCATATATAACTGTTTGCAACTGACTGAGTTAATCTTTATTAGCTGATTTTTTCACTTCTAGGTTTATCTTCTTTTGTTTTCTCCAAAAGGTGACTATGTATTAGGAAAACTTATCTGTTATGTGGAGTTTAAAATGTCAGCCTTAGTGTTAAAATTATTACTTATTTGTTCCATCTGTTTTAAAGGTTTTTGTTTTGGAATCTATGCGTACCTTCTGGCTGTGGTTTGATATTTAATTCTCTCCGTTACCGTCAAAAAGGCTCCAGCATGGCCAGGTGGTTAGGGCATTTGACTCGCAATCTGATGGTTGTGAGTTGGAATGCACGTCTCACCAAACATGCTCGCCCTTTCAGCCTGTGGGGGCGGTATAATGTCTCGGTCAATCCAACTATTCGAATATAGTAGCCCACGAATTGGTAGTGGGTGGTGTTGAATAGCTTCCTTCTCTTCAGTTTGTCACCTCAAAATTAGGGACAGCCATCGCAGGTAATAGCTTTTTCGAATAGCTTTGCATGAAATTCAACATTAACAAAATTAGTTTGGTATCACTTTCTTTCAACTATCGATTTGTATACAGTAATGTAGAGAAAATGATAGCAGTAATTCAAAAGATAACGTGAATATATTTTATATCAAATATTTACAAAATTCTGAATGTAAATATTTCTTGTAGATACTAACAGCAACAACAATTTTGCATCAGCAATGCTCTGGACATCAGCAACTTCCTGGCTATTGGAGAGCAAGATGGAAAGGGGATGGGAAGCATACCTCCCAGTGACTCTCCGAACCTTGTCCCATACAGTTTTGGAACTGGTGGTTGAAGAGATGCTAGTAGTGAACTTTATCCAAGACACCTTTTGGCTTTGATGTCGAACCTGCCAAGCATAGGCATGGCCCGCTGATAAACAATGTGGTTAGAAAGAGTGGGATACCGTCGAAAGGTATCCCAGGCCCGTTTTTGAGCCTTCCGTGCCTCCTGGCAGGCAGGACTCCACCATGGACGAGCATACCGTGGAAAACGTGTCGAGGTCTTAGGAATACAATAAATAGCCGCCTGGACAATACAGTCAATCACTGCCACCACACAATCGTCTACTGATGGTAGACAGACGAAGGCAGGATCAAGTTCAGAGAGAGGTGAAAGATGGCCAGTCAGCCTGGTCCAGCTTCCACTGTGGCACTCGGGTCGGGTGG